CAACTGGTACCCGGAGAAAGTAGCTATACCTGGAGGAAGGCTACCCAAAAGGAACTGTGGTCTTCATTAGAGGAGATACCTACTACAAAACCATAGCCAAGGAGGAAGGGAGCCAGGGAATAAATACGAACCTTCTTCCATTCTGCTCTCTCATCCTCCACTAGTATTTCCCGATGTCTAAACCCAGTAGAAGCCAGAGTTACCAGGGAGCTTGTTCACTCAGTCTCCTGGTATTTAGAGTGGTGTGTGGAAGGGGAGAACCTGAATCTGAATGGACAAATGGGCAGTTTTCAGCTTAATAATGGAACTTATAGATAATCTCTCTTAGTATTGGGCTCAGATGAAGTCACAGGGCATTACTTTGCCAATCGCTAAGCAAATAAAGCTTCACCTTGGTCTTTTAGGGCCAGAATCAATTAGGAAACTGACAGTAAGCAGACAGCATGACTGCAGGTAATTCTTGGATCTTATTTTAGGCTTTGGTGAAGTATGTCATGAGCATTGAATAGCATCTACTAAAAAGGCAATAATTTTCCATTATGATGAGGTACAACAGATATTTCCATTTTGGGTAGAGTGAAATCATGTACTTGCTTATTGGAAAAAGAGTCAGGGAAGAAATCACCACAACAGTGTTATCTTGGAGAGACAGCCTGGAGTTTGCCAGAGGAAATGGAAGACATGAAGACTCCCCAAGAAACAAAGTGCTTTTACACTGAGCATAACCAGAGAAGGTTACTTTGCAGGCCAAATTAAGATGTATAATTTAGTGTGTGGAGCCTGCAGAGCTGCTGTATTTTAGTCAAAGCAGAATGAGGCAATGCTGCTTGAAATAGTCCTGTGAACTCAGCATGGAATTATAGTGCTGGTGCATTTAACCCCACTCAATATTGCTTTCCTTGTTATTTTGCTTTTTTTCTCCCAAGACTTATAGTTTTTTTCCTCTGGTTTCTCAGAGGGAAAATATGTGTGATGATTCAGCACTGCACTCTGACTTGCTAATGGCTTGTTGAAGAGAAGTGTTTGCCCTGCTCAGAAGACTGCCTGTGATGTGGTGCCCACTAGAGTGCTGAGGTTGAAGTTCCTTTACTCAGGGCATATGTTTTTCTTCAAAGAGGAGGAGTTTTGTAGTTCTTTGGCTAGCTAGTAGGTGTCACCAAATAATATTCTGAGGTAATGAATTAGAAACTTAGAGATTAAATTTCTCATTTCACAAAGGAAAGAAGAAAATACATGAGGGGCATTTTATCCAGATACTGACACTGGCAGGGATGCTAGGCTGATAGCTGAATCCTGAAGAGACTTTTCTTTGGTTGAGAGAGAGAGATTGGGAAAAAGTGTGGATAGTTCTATGCTTCAGAGGCAGCTCTGTAAGTATTCATTGGTGATAGTGGAGGATGTGCATAACAATTTTGATAAAAATAATTTCAGACTATGGAAGAGAATGGGGAAATGAGAGTGTTTGAAAAAGATTTGTTCATGTTCTTTGTCTTAAATTATTTGGACTTTGGATGTTCAAAATTATAGCAAAGCTAATTCTGAAACTCATCCTAAGACCAGAAAATATGAAATAATTTTTTTCCTCCATAAATTTTCTCTAAGATGCCCTCTGGATGCTAAATTCAGGCAAGTTAGATTATCTTTGTGCCACTGATATATCAATACCTGTGCTCTTGTGCATTCAGAGGAGAAATTTGTTGTTTTCAAGCAACTCCACTTTAAAACAATTCACTTCTCAATCCCTACCTTTCATTGCAGATAATGCCTTTTGCTTAAATTTTTTGTTAAATGATAAGGCCGAGAGAGAGAGGCGCTAGGAGTATCTTCCCTGTTTGTTTACATGATCATTAGAAACTCAGAAATTATGAACACGTGGCACAAAGAAGCCATTTTGCACCTGGATTTGGACCCCCCCCCAAAGTGGTAGAAGAGTATTTTATCTTGAAAGCAAGGTAAAACTTTGCAATATTTTTTTAAATTTTAGGATTCCAAGAATGGGATATTTTTCTTTTATAATTGGTAGGGACTTATTTTTGCCATGTAGCCTGCCACAAACTACATGGCCAATATTGAGATCTACAACCCGAAGGTCATTCCTTTTACCTTCTACACCCTATTACTTGATCCTAAGTCGAAAGGTCTTCAACATGGTACAATACCATGGTTATGACTTTCACTATTTTTACACTATTCCTCTGCAAAAGAAAATGTATCAATAGAGAGAAAATGCAACAGGTATTTAAGAAGAGATGATGCATAAGGCTGGAGCTAAGAATTTAAAGATATAACTGGGTGTGTGACTCCAGTTATTGTCAGGGAAAGGAGGGTGAAAGGCTTGCTTATATTATGGAAGCCCTCTGATTTAATCTAACACTAGTTTCTGAGACATGGGTTCTGGTCTCATTTTGGCAGCACTAATTGAATGATATTAGGGCTAGGGTTTACAGACCTATACTAAAAGCATAGTAAGAAGTTAGATCACTGAATCTTAATTTCTTTAGCTATAAAATGTGGAGAATTATCTTAATGCATGTTCTTTTTCAGCCTTGATTAAAGTCTCTTTTCCCTCCATTTATCTCTTATATATGTGTTCCCAGGACTCTACTACAACCTTTGCTTTTTTTGGTCTGTGTACTCTTCTTGAGTAACCTCATCCAAGTCATATTTAACTAATATGCATTTAACTGCATATTAGACATGTCTGACAATCTTTGTTTTTTAATGGTGTGTGTAGGCCATTTACATTTAATGTAATTATTTATATGTTTAGCTTTAGGTTTCCCATTTTATTATTTACTTGTGTTTGTTGCCTCTATTTTTTGGTTTCTCTCTTTCATTTCCCCTTTCTTGTTTTCTTTTGAGTTATTTGAATTTTTTTTAATTCTTCCATTTTAATATATCAATTGTATTTTTCATTATATCTCTTTTAGTCTTTGCCCTAGGGATTAAATATGCATGTCTTACTCTTTACAGTGTAGCCAGAATTAAATTTCTGTTATATTTATCACCATATGGGTCTCTTTTCCCACCCTCTTAATGTTGTAGCTGTCATGTATATTATATGTACATACATTGCAACCCCACCAAACAATGTTATTTTGTTTTGTTTTGTTTTCAACTATGAAACATCTTTCAAAGAACTCAAGAGAAGAATAATACTGTGTTTACACAGACATTACCATTTCTGTTGCTTTTTCTTCATTCTTGATGTTACAAGTTTCTTTTTTCATTGTCTCTGAAGAGCTTCCTTTAGCACATCTTTTAGAGCAGGTCTGCTGGCAATAATTCTCTTTCTTCATCTGAGAATGACTTTATTTCACCATCATTTTTGAAGAATATTTCACTGGATATAAAATTCTGGGTTAACACATCTTTTCTCTTAACACTTTAAAATGGCATTCTACTTTCCCTTTCTCTGAGAACTCTGAGTCCTCCTGGCACTTGTGGGTTGACCAGCAGATGTATGTATTTTTTTTTTAATCTTCATTTTTATCACCTTTTATCTGTCTTCCTCAAGGAGTTTCTATTACAAAACTCTTCCTCCTTTCTCTCTTCTGCCACTCAAGATGTACTTTTATGTAGCTTTTTATTATTTAGAACCAGTTATAAAATACCTGAGGAAAATAATTCACCGAAGATATAAATGGTTAGTAAATGGTTATTGCGTTACCCTTCCCAAGGGGATTTTCTTTTAGGCATGGAAGTCTTAAAGATTGGGAAATGCTATAATTTAAGAAATGAAGTGTCATAATATAAAATTTTAAGCTCCATGCTTGGTCTGGGGGAGAGGGGGATGTTAGCCACAAAGACATGCCTAGGATTCCTCAAATCTTAGGAGAGAAACACAGCCACCTTCACTGCTTATGTGACATTTCAGCTGCTTCATTGGTAAAGACATGGAAAATCTGCACAGGGCCAACCAGTGGCTTGTAGATATTTACTTTTTCTCTGCCATTCCATTTGGCCTTAAATAGGCAAGAAATAGGGGAGAAAAAAAAGAAAAAAACCCAAACAACCTTGACTAAGAGTCCTGAAATATTTATTTAAATTTCAAACTTAAAATTTTTCACTTTTAGCTCTTTTGGCAAAATATATGAGTTGTATTCAGAAAAGGCTCCAAATTTATGGCCTAATACCTTTTCCCAAGACTGCTTTAAGTTAAATAGAAAATTAATCTCAAATCTTAGAAGGTGCTTTTTGAAGAGTAAAAAAGCTCACTCGTTTTTGCAAAGTAATATTCCAAACATGAGTTATTAAAATGGCTATGTTTTCTAAGGATCCCAAAGTCCCTTTCTTCGGGATTTCTGAGAGATGTATTAGCTGTGTTTAATAGAAAAACATAAACTGAAGCCTAGAGAAGTTGACAGACCTGCTCTAGGGTATATGGTGAGTTCCCTTGTGGGGGAAAAGGAGCTTTTGTATTGGGGCTAAAATAGAGCACTCTGGGGGCACCTGGGTGGCTCAGTCGTTAAGCGTCTGCCTTCGGCTCAGGTCATGATCCCAGGGTCCTGGGATCGAGCCCCGCATCGGGCTCTCTGCTCGGCCTGGAGCCTGCTTCTCCCTCTCCCACTCCCCCTGCTTGTGTTCCCTCTCTAGCTGTCTCTCTCTCTCTGTCAAATAAATAAAATAAAATCTTTAAAAAAAAAAAAAATAGAGCACTCTGCCATCTCTCAGCTGTAGAAAATCTCCGGTTTGGTGGGGGGATTGGACTGGGGAAGTGGTTGCAATCAGCCTCTGGTTGGTGTGAGTTGAGTTGGTTGAGATCAGCCAGAGAGAAAGGATAAGTCATTGCTATGATTTCATTTATGTTGGTGTGTGATTTATGCACTCAGTTAGACAAACTGCTTTCTTCCCCTCTTCTTCTACCAGGCGGTCTTGTTGCTAGAGATGACTGTCAGCTGCTTTCCCTGCCTAGCCACCATCACATGCCCCACCACCGGAGCCTGGGAAGCCTGACCACAGACCAGCATCTCCAAGGCATGAATAATTAGGTAGGCATAATGGAAGGCACTCACTGCACCCTCCAATTGCGTAAGCCCATTACTGAAGTCTGCTACATCAGCTTCTATCTTCCAAGGGGGGAGGTCAGAGGATTTTCATACAAGGGCACTGTAACTCTAGACAGATCCAATAAAGGGTTTCATAACTGCTACCAAGTCAGGGAGGGGTCAGACGTCATCAACCTCAGCTTGCAGCCAAATGAACATCCAGGCGACATATTTTTCAAGCAAACTCCCACAAAAGACATTTTAACTGAGCTGTACAAACTCACAGCAGAGAGGGAGAAACTTCTGGCCAATCTGCTGAGCTCAGACCACATCCTGGGGATTACGATGGGAAACCAGGAGGGGAAGCTGCCGGAGCTGTCCGTGAGCCTGGCCCTTGAGGACGACTGTTTCCAGAGTGCTGGTGACTGGCCAGGGGAGCCCCCCGTGGGCTGTCTCAATAAGAGGAGTGCCCATGGGAACAGAAAGCCTCGGAGGTTTGGTGGAAGGAGAGGGAGCTTTGAGGTGCTTCCACAGAAGAGGACAAGAAGAAAAGGGCATGGGGGCCAGCAGTCGGCTCCTCAGATGGGGAAGGACCAGATCTGTTCCAGCAAATCTCTTCCTCTTTCTCGAACAAGGCCTAATCTTTGGCTTCTAGAGGAGAGAGGCAGCTCGTTCCCAAGTGGGGCATTTATTTATTCCCTACAGTGGAGAGAGAGCTACCCCCCAGAGCTCCCCAGGACACTGGATACGAACCGCAGCTTTGGGAGCTTCAGGGGGGCTTCTGAGGACCCCGGGCTTGGAAGAGGAGAGCCGCCCCCTCACTGCAGCGCCACAGAGCCAGGAGATGATGATGCTGGCCTGCCGGAGAGGGGCCCTCACAGGCTGGTGCGCCCGCAGACAGGTTTATCTGGAAGTCATGAGGACTCTGAGAAGCATCCAGAGGCAGAGAGGGGCCAAAGGGAGAAGTCTACTGAGCGTACATGCAGGAAGAAGCCTATTTCCAAAGTGGTGGCCAAAGTCCAGGATCTGTCTACTCAGGTGCAAAGAGTAGTTAGAACGCATCCCAAAGGTGAGGAAAGCATTGCCATTTGCCCAGCGGCCCGAGCTGAGTTTATACCCGGAGCAGACTGGCTCACCCTCCCAGGAGCCGAGGCTGGGACTCATGAGTCCAGGTGGCAGGGCCAGGAACAGCAAGGCGACAGGTCGTGGCAGCTGTCGGACAGGGAACGCATGCCAGCCAGTGCCGAGGGGGCTGTGAACAAGGTCCTGCTGAAGGTGATAGAGAGTGAGAAGTTAGATGAAGCCACTGAGGGGAAAAGGCTGGGCTTCCCCCCAAGCACACCAGTCCCCCGTGCCCTCCCAGAAGCCAGAGGCAAGAGGAAGACCGGGCTGCCTCTGAGGGATCACAAAACCTCGTTTCTGGATCTGCCCCACAGCGGAGGCCCTGACCGGTCACAGCCCGGAGGCCATGAGAAGAAGCCGTCCCCCCCAGCACCAGCAGCCCTCAGCATGCTACTGAATAATTCAGCCTCCCAGTCCAGCACACACAAACGGATGGCACCTGTTCCCTCGCCTCTCTCTCCAAGGCTCCCAGGCCCTGAGCAGCATCACAGGGCCCTGCAGCTCCCTTTACTGCCTGGTGAGTGGGAAGTGGCTCCTGATGACTCTCTTGGCCGAAAGAGCAGTACTTTCTCTGGGTCCCCTTCTGCTGACACCTTGGAGCCACCACCCTCTGCAAAGGTCACGGAGACCAAAGGAGCCAGCTCGACCTCCCTCGGAGCAGGCCAACCTCGGTCAGTGCCTGGGGAACCTTTGGAAAAGAGCCTGGGGCCCGGAAAGACTGCAGCTTGGCCCCAGTACCAGTCACCTCCAGGTAAGTCCCTGTATAAGATACTTTACATCTGTGCTTGGGCAGCTCACAAACAGTAATCTGCTTGTGCTGTTCAGAGACTGGCTCCTGAACAAAGAACCCCAAATTCCTGGGCCTGTTAGTCAATTCACTCTGTAGCAAGGAAACTGGAGTGGTGTAGGGGAGTGTGGCAATGGTGAGGCTGGTGCTGACTTATAGGGTCAGGGGTGTAGTTGCTTCCAGAAGCCATGCTTGGTAAATGTCTTTTAAAAATACTTTACTTTGGCATACTCTAAAGCTGCCTCTGTGGTTGCTTAACTCAGGATTTTCAAAGGAAACAGGAATGAGCAGAAAGAAGTAGCAACTTGTCTCTGCCTTTGATGCTAACACTGGGTAATTGGCCCCTTGACCTAAATTCTGCTGTTCATGCTGCTGGAGTAGCTCAGGTTCGTTGGGGTTCTCTAAGCAGAAGAGCAAAAGCCCCATGTGTCTTTGCTCATCTGTCTGTTGTAAGAGGTTTTTCATTTTTGTTTTTTAACAATCACTTTTATAAGCGTCATTACTTTATGGCAAGAACTTTATTTTTTTACTAGAAGAGGGATGAACTCAGTCTCACTTGAAGAAACTCGATTCAGATTTTCTTTCTTTTTTTGGACTCTATTTTCCAAATGAGCATGAAGGAATGTTTATTCTGTTTTATTTATGGTCTGTTTTACTGTCATGTTTTACTTATGGGTGCTCAAGAGCCAATTTGGCTTATATGTTTAATGTGATATAAAATTTTATGTGGAAGTAATTTGGGGGTTCAAAAAGTGGATTCAATAAGACCAAAAAAGGTAATGTATAAAAGGTGCCACTCCGATATTCCTTACATTTTCCAGGCCAATGTGGCCAGGGCCTCAGGGTTTCATATGCCACTATGCAGGGGACCGATTCTTTTCTGGGGTAACTCCCACAGCATGTGGTCAACGCCTTGTCTAGGGAATGGGTCGTAATATGATATACGGTCTCTTAAAGATTAGACAAAACATTGTGCTCAATTTCTGAGATAAAAATCTCTACCTAGGAAAGAGGAATTTCAACAGCTTTCTGTTCATTTTGACTCTTGACATTTTTTAAATTTCTCTAAATCATTGATCCAGGCGTGGTTCTTTAAAAATGTGGTAAATACTTTTGATCTTATTTTTGCAATATATTGATCTTAGTTTGAGAAGACTTGCTACTTTCATGATATAACCAATCTCCTTCACCAGGAAAGTCAGAGAATTACAGCTTTTGTTTCATGTATCATAGAACCCTAGTGATGAAAATTCTTTCTCCTCATGGATGCTGGAGCCATTGGAATTCTTGGAAAGGGAGGTCTGTGCAGTTATTAGATGAGAGATTTCTGGAGGCTCAGGCGTGGAATAGCTGCTTCAACTCTAAAGGTTCTTTTTTAGAAACCACACTAACTTCTGGGATTGTGCGTGTCCCTCATCCAGAAACTGGGCATTAAATACATTGAGCTTCAGTAAATCTTGTTTTTTACTGATTTAAAATTATCTTTTTATTTTGTTGCCCTTTTTCTTTTTTTTTTTAATATTTTATTTATTTAAGAGAGAGACTGAGAGAGAGAGAGAGAGCATGAGAGGGGAGAGGGTCAAAGGTAGAAGCAGACTCCCCGATG